TGTGTGTGTGTGTGTGTGTGTGTGTGTGTGTGTGTGTGTGTGTACTTAATTAAAAGTAAAGAAAATCTTAGTTGGGCTGTGGTGGTGCACGCCTTTAATCCCAGCACTCAGGAGGCAGAGCCAGGCAGAAAATAAAATTAAAAAGTTAAGTGCTCAAAGTACTCTCTCAATATGGTGCCATTGCCCATCAAGGGACTCATGGGTCCTTAAGAGTCCCACGAGGGAAACTCTCCCCATATGACATTGCTTCTGATGACCCTGGCCTTCTCTTCTCTGGGATAATACTGGTTTCCAATTCACACCAGTCTTCTAGAGAAGACATCCAGACCACCTGTGAAAATGAGGTCGCAGGGTTCTGGGTGTGATCTGAAGCCACAAATGCACACATGACCACCGCATACATCACCTTTCAATGAACCCGACTGTCAAGCTGTGACACTCTGGGCAGTCCAGCGGTCAGCTGAGCCCATCAGATCTCAAGCATGGGGCACCTGGTTCGTCGGCACACGGCACTCGGCCAGCTGAGCAGAAGCACAGAGCAGGGGCATCCTCTCTCCCCGTAACCGGGCCCCATCTGAACCAGGTTTGCACACTGAAACCCAGAATCCACCTGGGGTAACCTCCGCTGCCTGCAGCCATGTCCTCTCGCGCGTGCATTGCCTCTGACTGTGTTCCCACCCCAGGAGCAAACTTGAGTAGGTACAAAAGAAGCTCACGCATGCCACTGGGAGTGTTTCCCATCTGCCTCTTTGCAGAAACCAGTTGGTCATCAGCACCCATCGCACCAGGGCCACACGGCCCAAAGACTCATTAGGCTGTGTGCTCAAGGACACACACACCAGGTCAAGGTGCTGCTCTGTCCTGCAAGCATCCCTCGTCCAACATTCCCGACGATGCTCGAGCTGTTTAAGGACAATGCTCACCTTGTTTTGTATTTGCTGCTGTAACCATTTTTTCCAATATGGTTGGTATTTCAAGTTCTTAGGGTCCACGTAGACCATCCCGCATCGAGACACAGTGGCAGGAGAGGCATACTGCAGGTCTCCCACCTGGAAAGCAAGCGAATCCTTCAGCTCCTGGCTGCTAGCTCCTGGGCTACACAGGCCAGGACCTTCCCTGTGCAAACAAGGGCACAAAGCCCATGCCAGACAGTCAGCACAGCTGTTGAGGTTTCTTTTTTGGTTTTGGTTTTTCGAGACAGGGTTTCTCTGTGTAGTTTTGGAGGCTGTCTTGGATCTCGCTCTGTAGACCAGGCTGGCCTCGAACTCACAGAGATCCATCTGGTTCTGCCTCCCGTGTGCTGGGATCAAAGGCATGCACCACCACCGCCCAGCTGAACTGTTGAGGTTTTAAACTGAACATGGAGGTCACAATGAGATCGCCCACGCCTGATGTGACATCTCCCCATTAAATAAAAAAGTTGTAGACTACCTGATAAAACGTAGAAAAGTTAGAAACATGGACGCAAGCTATTCAGATCCCAGAACCTAGAAACAAGTACCGTGGGTTTCTTTTTCTAAAGACTTATTATTTTATTTAGTGTGGGTGTGGATGAGCCTGAGTGTGCCTGTGCACGAGGTGTGTGGGGGTCTCCACAGAGGCCAAAAGAGGGCATCAGATCCCTTGAAAATGGAGTTACAGAGAGCTGCAAGCTGTCATGTAGGAGCTGGGAAGCAAACAGGGTCCTCTGCAAGGACAGCCAGTGTTCCTAACCACCGAGCCACCTCTCCAGACCCCTTGTTTTTGTTTTGTTTTGTTTCAATTTTTTTAAGGCAGGGTCTCATGTAGCCCAGGCTAGCCTGTAACTAAGGATAGCCTTGAACTCCTGGTCCTCATGCCTCCGCTTCCTGAGTGTTCGACTGACAGGTGTGTGCCAGCACATCTGGTTTGGAGATGAACCCCGGGCGGGCCTCAAGCATGCTAGGTGAGCTCTCTACCAACTGACCTACAGCCCCACCCCCCACCCCAGACATCGCTTTAGGGAGTTTTTTTGTCCGTCTTTCCTGCTTCTTCGTCAACATGGCTGACATCAGGTAGCACAAGGCACTGGAAGCAGAGAATTAGCAACACTTCCAAGTGACATGGGTCCATCAGCCAACTGGACAACGGCATTGCGCAAACGCAAATGCACGGATGAGCTCTGCAAACCGGAGAGGAATAACATCACGGTTCATCTGAAGGAAGGGCGAGTCCTAGGGCACAGCTATGAAACAAGCCCTTGGTGGGGCAAACAGAAAACGGGGGAGGGGAGGGGAGGGGAGGGGAGTGGTCTCTAGGAAAACCGGGAGGGCTCGATACTGGACGAGATGGAAAGACGTTCTTAATGAAGGAAAAGGCAAATAAATAGCGCCAGAGAAAGGGAAAGTGACCACAGGCTCCAGACAAAAAAAAATGGTTCCAAAAGACAAAGAAAGGGCCGGGTGGTGGCGGCGGCTATGGCGGCGCACACCTTTAATCCCAGCACTCGGGAGGCAGAAGCAGGCGGATCTTTGAGAGTTCGAGGCCAGCCTGGTCTACAGAGTGAGTTCCAGGAAAGGCGCAAAGCTACACAGAGAACTTTTGTCTTGAAAAACCAAAAAAAAAAAAAAAAAAAAAAAAAAAAAAAGAAAAAAAGAAAGGAATTCCAGCATACTAGTTGGCCCTGCCGTAAATATTTCTGTACTCAGAACAACGACAACAGTGTGTGCTACTAAACGATTCAGAAACGTCGTGTTCTGAGGAGGGAGGGTGGACAACCAAGACAGCAGATGGATCCCCATCTTTAGAGGACTCAGTAGATACTATGTAAAGTTTTAACTTTTGTTTTCTTTCTGTGAGGTTGGGTCTTGAGTTATAGATGGCCAAGAACTCCTTGTGTGGCCCACGCTGGCCTCAAACTCATGGGAATCCTCCTGCCTCCTGTGAAGCTTCCTAATTGTTGGGATGACAAGCATGTGCCACCATGTTCAGTAATAATGTATAAATTAAAAGCTCACCGGACAGTGGTGGCGCAGGCCTTTAATCCCAACACTTGGGAGGCAGAGCCAGGTGGATCTCTGGGAGTTTGAGGCCACCTGGTCTACAGAGCAAGATCCAGGACAGGCACCAAAACTATACAGACAAATTGCCCTGTCTCAAAAAAGAAAAGAAAAGAAAATTAGAAGCTTGTATTTTTAGTGTTGTTTTGTGTGTGTGTGTGTGTGTGTGTGTGTGTGTGTGTGTAGGTATGTTCACTAAGTGATTTTAGTGCCTGGGAGGCCAGAAGAGGGGGTAGGATCCTCTGGAGTGCAAGTGATGGGTGTTTGCGATGCCTAATATGGATGCTGGGAACCAAACTCAAGTCCTCTGGAACCGTAGCAAGCACACTTAACCACTGAGCTATCTTCCCAACCTAGTAATGGATAGATTTAGTAAAAGAATAAACAGCAGGTTAAGCATGTTGTTTATAGATCACAGAATGATTCTCAGGAGAAAGAGCTTAAAAAAACAAAACAGCCAGGCAGTGGTGGCTCACGCCTTTAATCCCAGCACTGGGGAGGCAGAGGCAGGCGGATCTCTGTGAGTTTGAGGCCAGCCTGGTCTACAGAGCTAGTTCCAGGAAAGCTGGAGCTACACATGGTGAGAGCCTGTCTCGAAAAACAGGCATGGAAGTTGTCGACTCCAGCTTAAAGAGGGGATGATGGAAGACGATGGGAAACGAAGGTTGGGGCCAGTGAGATGGCTCAGTGAGCAGAGTACTTGCTGGCAAGCCTGGCAAGCCGAGTTCAATGCCTGGGACCCACACACTGGGCAAAAGAACCAACTCCCACAAGCGGACTTCTAACCCACACACAGACCTGAGTGCGCAAACGTAGTTAGATGTCATGTTGAAAATCGAAACATTGAACTCATTGTAAACATCTGTGTTTTCACGATCATCTACCTTAATAAAGACTTAACAAACTAAAAGCAGGGACCCTGTTCAAGTTTGCTTCTCGGCATGACTTGCCTCAAAGAGCAGGGCACAGTGTGCCTGGAGCCGAATGCGCTCCCCGTTGGCCAAGGTCAACAGCTTGTTGTCGTCCATCACGGAGTTCATGTTTTCCACCCACAAGGCATCCACGTCGCCATCAAACAAAATATACCTGCATTGACCAAAGAGAGGTAAGCCACAGACACTAGAACACTCCCAGTGACCCCACTGTCCCTCCTGTTCAATGTCTTCTCCCAGGGCTTCCCAGCCAGCACGCTCCCTCTGTCCTGATGTTTGACCGTGTGGTGCATAAACACTGAGCAGCTCACTAGTGTTTGAGGGTCTGAGAATGTCAGGCACAATCCAGCTAGCTTTGTTGTTGTTGTTGTTGTTTTAAGACAGGGTTTCTCTGTGTAACTTTGGAGCCTGTCCTGGAACTCGCTCTGCAGACCAGGCTGGCCTCGAACTCACAGAGATCCATTCTGGGATTAAAGGTGTGAGCCATCAGCACCTGGCTACCAACTAGTATTCTACAATACTTTTTCTGTCTTTTTGAGACAGGGTTTCTCTGTGTAGCTTTGCGCCTTTCCTGGATCTCGCTCTATAGACCAGAGCTGGCCTCGAACTCACAGAGATCCGCCTGCCTCTGCCTCCCGAGTGCTGGGATTAAAGGCTTTTTTCTTTCTTTCTTTCTTTCTCTCTCTCTCTCT